GAACAAGGCACCCAGCCGTGCTGCTGAAGCTGCTAGCCTGGCTCTGAAGACTTTCGAGAAATGGCTGGATGGGATCCATGGATCAGATAATGGGCCAGACGGCCCACCTGGCCTCCTATCTTTTGTAACACAAAATCTTCATGTTTTCAGGCTGTGTGTTGCGTTGACCATATCCACTGCTGTCCGCAAGGCCTCACGTGCAACATGATAGAGATGACTTGTGACGGCCATGGTGCAGAACCGGGCATCCCAATGGTCAAGAAGATACCGGCTGCAGAGCAGGATGCCTTCCTTCCCGTTATGATGGGCAAGCCCGATGCCAATGTGGAGAGCTCAAAGGTGCAATGTGACAGTACCCATTTCTGTCCTGATGGGAATACATGCTGCAGACACCCCTATGGGATTTGGAAATGTTGTCCACTTTCACCGGTAGGTCAATTCATTAACTTATTTGTGTTTCATTGCCTAAAAGGTATATTTTTACCTAGCGGTTCTGAACAAATTCTATACTTACAAAATGCAGTTAAAGCCAGATCCCAGACATACTAAAACATTCACAGATGGAAACACTGCAGATACCACTAGAGTCCAGGCCTGATGGAAAATAACTATATCTTTATGTTTTTGTTTTTTTTCATTGGTTGTCTTCTGTAGTTAATACAGTATTTTGACAAAAAAAGTCCAAGAGATAAGTGTGGTAGGCCAGTCTTTGAGGACAATGTAATGACACTGTAACAGTTGCCACCAGAGGCCACAATAATGCCTCTTATCATTTGTACATATTTCATTAATAGATTTTTGATAAAAATGTGGGTGTGAATAGTAAAATGTTTAAAGTCCTCATGGTATGCGGTTGGGTTTTGGTTCTGAGGAGGAGTAAATATAAGCTTAAAATATATCTTGAATTTAAAAGTGTATTCTCTTTAGAATGGATGGCAACAAATTGTATGTATAAACAGGTAATAGCAGAGACCCTGAATTCTCTGTCGCTGTTCCTCCTATAGGCCGTTTGCTGTCTCGACGGCCTGCACTGCTGTCCTTTCGGCTACTACTGCGACGAAACTTATACTAAGTGTTTACGAAATGGCTTAAGTATTCCCTCTTTTCTCAAGAGGCCAGCACTGACTGTAAAGTCCTCCAACATGACCACTTCAGCAGCTCAGGTACCTTTTTCCTTTTTACTGAACAATGAATGGGGCAAAGGTATAATATGCCATTCTCAACTGCTGTTCTCTGCAACTTATTCCGGTGCTTTGTTTTTTTAATTAACAATGGCCAGGTGCTGAGGGATGAGGGGACAGAGGAGAAACTCCCCTGGGTGAAACTGCAGAAGGCTGTCACCAGCCTGTCTAAGACCTCGGTTATTCGCTGTGATGGAGTGTACTACTGCCCCGAGAACACGACCTGCTGCAAGAAGGCTGACAACAGCTGGAGCTGCTGTCCGTTCCCACTGGTAAACCTGTTTTCTCATTTGTCCGAGAACACCGTCTCACCGTTATGAATATGCTATATAAACTGCACAGGTGTGTTTAGCTTCAAGATGAAAACTGGAAGAGAGATGTTTAGGGCAATACATGTAGAACACAAGAATCACAGGAATGCCTTACATTGTAATTCTACTAATTAGAAAAATGCTTCAAGACACTACATACAAAAAAATCATACTAATTGAAAAGTGCTAAATATGACCATGTGCATCGTCATATAAGAATATAATAAGTTTGCAAACGGAAGGAGTCCACTCAGAATCTTGTATTTCATAGTGCATAAAATGTTTTTCTGTGATAAAACTTTAAAAACTGAAACAAATTGACTTAAGCTGAAGTCATTCACTAAAGCAATTAATGCAAATCCCTTTGCCTTTTTAGCACTGAGAGAAGCAACTGTTAAACTCAGCAATGCGTTTTTCTCTCTGCCACAGGCTCAGTGTTGCCAAGATAGGTTGCACTGCTGCCCTTACAGCTACACCTGCGATGGTTCATCCACAATGTGTGTGAAAAACAATCAGAGAATTCCCTCAGCTGAAAAAGAGGACGCTCAGTGGGACTGAGTGAAAGAGTAAGTGGACTGATGCTGGATACTTCATCTCTAGGATGAAAGGCTGCTAGACGATACCCAGTCTCCACTAGGCTTCCTTATTCTCCAGTAATTAGTGTGCTGTATAACTTAATTGGCTGACATTTAAGTGATAGTTGTACAATTTTAGAGATGTTTTAGGCTCTATCTGCAATACTAATTGGAGCCACAGGCAAAAGTCTAGTATAGTTTTAGATTTCGTGGTACAAATAATTTGACTAGCTCAAAAACAAACCCAAAAGATTTGGATTTTTTTCTGATATTATCTTCTGCTACAAATCTCAAAATGTTGGTGAAAGAAGACCAGCTGCAGTAGTGAAGCACTGACAATACTGTCATCATCAGAATATGTTTTAAAGGGGCACATTACATGGTATTGTTTTCAAATTAAAAACAATCTATACCTGCCACTTAAGAATTGTGGTGCTCCTTTAATATGAGCACCCGTAAGGATTAGTCAGGCCTCTGGCATTGAAGCACACAATATAAATTGTACAAGGATCATTGCTAATTCAGCACTCAGAGTGCTAAGGTTGGGTTGTTGGCAGCCTTCATGCAGCTGAGTACAGTAATTCCAACACAGTCTTTTTACCCATTGGGTTTCAGATTTGAGGTGCACCTCAGGGGCACTCGGACACAAATGCTACCATGTGACCCAATCAAAAACTGTTCACAGTGCCCTCACACCCACAAGTCTGTGTTAAGTACCTTGCACAATCCGGTTGAAAAATGGAGGTACCATACAAGTGACCCGCCCCTACCTGCGGGACTTTGGTTAGACTTGCTGCTTTGCAGCTTCCTTTGTTTCAAATCCAATTAAAACGACATCCTGTTGCAGGGTCGGTGAGGAAGAGTCATCCCATGATTATTTCAACCAACTTGCCACCAGATGCTAGTTAAGGTCTCTTATACTTGTAAATAGTCACAATAGAGGTGAATTAGGTACAGGGATAATTATTTGGTTAAGAGTAGGAATCCCATGTTCTCAAACATTGGTACTTAAGTCTGTTTGGGATATAAAGGGCATGCAGAAACATAGTAGTTCAGGTGGGTAGCTGCATCAGCATGCATAGGCTGCAAAGGGACAAGTAATAGGTTTATTCCATGCTGAAAAGAGAAGAAAGAAAACACACACCTGAAGAAGGCTCCACGGCCGAAATGCTGTGTTTTCTCTCTTCTTTTTCAGCATGGAATAAACCTATTACTTGTTCCTATGCAGAAACATAGCCTTGCTGTTCCAAAGCCCAGCCGCCATCTAACACTGTGAAGTCTTTGTATCTGTGGAGATTTTGCTGCAGTAAAAACTCATTTAACATGATTCTTTGCATCATTGTTAGTTTTAGTTAGGTTTGCCCTGTGGGTCACATTGTGTGGGTTGGGGCCTTTCACAGTATCTTAACAGCACAATTGGGGACAAATACAGTATTGCCCTGTTGTGCTGAAACAGAATGAATAGAGCTGAAGTGTTTCTAATAAATCAGTGTTCCTCTGAATACTGACCTCCACTTTTCTACGTGTTTTAGGATCACGCAGAGAGACGTCCTTGCATGGCTGTATGACTCTACTGTGGTACCGGGTTAGCCCACCTTTTCTGCTCCGTCTTCACTGAAAAGTTTTGTTTTTTTTCATTTAACTCTGGCATTTATTTAAATTATAAATGTCATGTAAGAACAACAATTAAACATACTGCATAACATTTGTTGTGTTTTGTCTTTGCTATTTACGCTTTTTTGGTCATAAGAATCTTTACATTTAAAATGCGACCATCTCTGCAGATTAAGAACATAAATTTACAAATGAGAGCAAGTTATTCAGCCCATCTAGCCTGCTGAGTAGTTGATCCTTGGATTCCAGCTGTGTCCCGAAAAAAAAAAAACTACCAATTATTGCAATGGCATCAAAAACACTGGGCAGCTTGTTCCATATTCCCCACAGCCCAGCTCCCTGAGTAAAACAGACCAGTTCACAGAAACAAATCCTCTTCCGCAACATTTGCACCTGTTACCTCTGCTTCATGGTTAACCGTTGATGCCGAAGAAGTCCACTGGGTGGATTCCGCAGCATGGAATAAACCTTTACTTGCTCCTAAAAATTCACATTGTCTTTTTAAGGAAGGGACCACTGAAAAACTACAGGTCTGCTGCGCACACAAGGGAAACATGAAAGAAAACAACAAAAAATTATAAGATAAGATCACTTTATTAGCCATATATTATGCAATTAGCCATTGCATTAGGAATTTGTCTTTTCACATACCCCAGCTTGCTCTCCATGAGACACACAGGCAGGGAGAAAAACTTGGGATCAGAGCACAGGGTCAGCCATTGTACAGCACCCCTGGAGCAGCTGGAGTTAAGGGCCTTGCTCAGGGGCCCAACGGAGTAGGATTCCTCTGCCGGCCAAGGGATTTGAACCGGCAACCTTCCAGTCACAGGCACAGCTTTAGCCACAGAGCCAATGCACCACCAGGAAGAGGATCATAGCCATGGGCTCACCTTGGGCTCCTTAGTGACCTTCCAGAGGTTCCCTAGAAACAGATAAAGTGCTCAAACTCAACACTTCTATGCAATGGTTCTCATCTTGGAAAGGCTCATGATTAGGATTTATTTTTAAGTGATTTTTTTTTTGCAATAGTGTAGTATTGTGTGGTCATCAGAAGTAAAGGGAAGTTTTAATCGGAATAAGCAGTAAATGATTATGCCCACAAGGGGGAGTAATACTCTGTTTGCTGTAGACTACAGTACAAGAATGCAAGAAATGCGCTCCTTCCTCTCTCCAAGCCACTGTATCATATCATTGGCTGTTACTTGCAAATCAGAGTGATTGGTTGAAAAGTGGGTCCATCAGGATTTTTTTCTCCAGCTAATTCTTATTTACCGAAGTGATTAGCAGCACTTGCGTTCATTAAGCCATCTATCCTCGCGATGCAGTACCTAGAGCAGTGAGCCTCCGTCTTGGTCCTGGGCTATTAATGTACCTGCTGTTTCTCGTTCAAACTGGGCTCTTCATTACGGGTCCTAATTTATTTGAACTTTTCTACACTTATAGGTTTCAAACTACCCTTGAGTATTTTGCTAATAACTTCAACACAAAAAAACGTTAGACAGTTCCTCCTCAGCTTTCTACTAACGAGCAGGCAGGAGCTCCGCTGCGCACCGACGGCTCGTTCTCAAAGCGGATTGGCGTTTCCATAGCAACAGCCGTCCCAACAGGACTAGGGTTGACGCCAGGTCTGTGTTTTCTACCGTCCTACTGACGTCGAAATCGGAGGAAAAAAATCGCGAAAATGTCGGAAATGTCGGCGATGAACAGAAAAAATATACAAAAACTTGCAGAATCCCTGTCTAGACAAGTGAAACACTGTAAGTACAGTACACGCAGTACCTTGTTCGTGTGCCATTGAGCTCAGCTCTAAGGAAGTGCTGTGTATCTCTTTGATATTGAAAGAAATAAATACTATTTCGTGAATTGCACCTTGTTTCCGTGAGTAACGTGCTCTTTGATTATGACAAGAAGAGCGACTTTCAGAAATATGCCTTAGATTTTCTGTTGAATAGCCAGTTTGCAGTATCCATTTTAAACGTGAACGGCGATGGAGAAAGTTAATTAACCTCAGAGTTAGTCTAGATAAACTTTCCCAGAAGCTCAACCAGCGGAGCTTGTATGTTTTTATATGTAAGAGGAGAACACGAATGATTCATAACGTCTTATTCGACTCAAACTTCATATGTACTTTACATCATGGAACCAGAAGTCAGGCGTTTGAACTTGTAATTAACTAGATCGATCGTGGGTTCCAGTGCCAGACGAGACACGGCTGTTGATCCTCACTTCAAATTGAAGTTCAATTTCCCCACTAAAAATACCGAACTGTTAAAACTGATACAAATACAGATTAAAAGGTTAAAAGCGTCGGCCGTATAACAACTGTAATTATTCCCTGATGAGGGTGGCACAGTGGTTAGTGTTATGTCGCAGGTTCAATGCCGGAGCTGGGGTGCTATTTTCGAGGAGTTAGTGTGTTTTTGTGGGTTTCCTTCCACAGTCCAAAGACATACTGGTAAGTGAATTGGCTTCTGGGAAAACTTACCCTAGTGTGTGTGTGTGTGCATGCCTTGCGATGGACTGGCGTCCTGACCAGGGCGTCGCCTGCCTTGTGCCCGTTGCTTGCAACAATAGGCTCCGGCTCTCCCGTGACCCTGAATTGGAAATAAGATAAGATCACTTTATTACCAATATACAATTTCTTGTATTTGGAATTTGTCTCTTCATATACCCCAACTTGCTCTCCATGAGACACACAAGCGGGGAGAGAGAAGCTTGGGGTCAGAGCGCAGGGTCAGCCATTTATAAAGCAACCCTGGAGCAGTTGGGGTTAAGGGCCTTGCCCCCTGAGCAACAGAGTAGGATTCCTCTGCCAGCCACAGGATTTGAACCGGCAACCTTCCAGCCACAGGCACAGATCCTTAGCCACAGAGCCACTGCCCTCAAATAGTGGTTAGAAAAGAATGGATGGATTATTCCCTGCTTATAATAATGCCTTCAGAGGAACTTTACAAATAAATTAGTGATTGATTGAAAAGTGGGTCCATCAGGATTTTTTTCTTCAGCTAATTCTTATTTACCGAAGTGATAAATTCCATTGGGAATTACCAATGTGAAGTCTTCAAATAACTAATACATAGAAGTAGGAGTTCAAATCATCATCCCTTCTCAATTTTCCTTTTTCTTTCAAGCTTTTGCAATGTTTTGTAATATATCACTGTCTAAACAGCACAATAACTCGCATTGAATTTTGTCTGATATGATGATGCTTCTATTTTCATCATGTACAATAAGCTGTATTACTATACAAATCCATCATCATGGGCTAGAGCCGATCTGTCTTGTCTTACAACATGCTGCGCCCAGTCGACAGGAACGAGACGGAAAGTTTGATCACGCTGTTCAACACGCTGCTGGGGGAGCAGAGCGACAGGCGGGCAGGAAGTGGCCTGGACCGGGGACGCTTCAGGAACGTGCTGCACAACACATTTGGAATGACGGACGACATGATTATGGACAGAGGTGAGCTTCCAGCTGCTGGTCGCACACATGAAAGAGAATGGAAAAGGTTTACCGTAAGAATATTTTTTAAAACCATCCTTTTTTTCCCCCCTCCAACAGTTATTAGCAAAAGAGGATGCTCTTGTGGTTTCTTTTTCATGTTTATTGTAAAAATAAATTCGTAGATGACATACATGTACTAAGGAAGAAAATCTCTGTTGAGAGCCCATTTCTCAGGCAACAGTACAAAAGGTTTTCAATATCTGCATTGTCTGTAGATGGGTGTATGAGAGTCTGTTTTTTTTTTTCCAAAAATGGCTTCTGTATTAAAATTTTAACAGATGGGCTACTTTTAGAAAGAATTAGATAGGTCAAAGTCAACATTTTCTATTTTCTATAACAATGTGAAAATTGTTTTTAATTTTGAATTTAGTCTTTCGTGCCTTTGACAAGGACAACGACAGTTACATCAGCATAAAAGAATGGGTGGAGGGACTGTCTGTGTTTCTGCGTGGGACCTTGGATGAAAAGATAAAATGTATGCGAGTATGTTGTCTGTTCACCTATACTTTTAAGATAGCCTCCATGTTGATTCTGAATAGAATATATTTCAAGATTCAAGATTTTTTTTTAATTTGCCATACACAACCAGTGTATTGGAATGCTTACTTGTTCAGATGTACCCAGTAACAGTAGAGAAATAAAAAAAAATAGGCACAAATGACAAACAGACATGGACAATCAACTAGACAATAGACGTTAAAATACAACCAAGACAGAACATAGTGCAAAAATAGTGCAGTACCTTGAAATGCAGGTGCTAATTTGAGCTGTTTATGATGCGGACAGCTTGGGGGAAGAAACCGTTTTTGAATCTATTGGTCAGTGTTCTGATACTGCGACACCTCCTACTAGAACCCAGGGGTGAAAGTATGGTAGGGAAAATAAGAGTATGTTCATTCGCCCCAAATGTTTTTTTTTTTATAAATGATAACATTGCTTATCGTGACAGCCAGATTAACATGATGCTGTAGTCTCAGTACTTTCCAAGTTACAATCAAGAGATCATTCAGTCATCCAGCCCCTTTGGTGGTTAGTAGTTAACTGGTCCAAGGATCTCATCCAGCTATTTCTTGGAAGACATCAGGGTATCGGTCTCAACAATAAGGCTGAGTAAGCGGTTCCATACTCCCACAACGCTTTGACTAAAGAAGTGCCTCGTTCCTGATTTTAAAATGCAATTCAATGCAGTTTGCTCTGTACATTTAAGTATACATATGAGAATCCTTGGTCATATTTCTTCCATTTTTAATGCCCGCTGTTTCTCTCTCCATTAACTCATGGGACCAAAGACACACAGACAGGCAGCTTCTTGCTCCAGATTGCTATTCAGCAAAAGGAATTCTGTGGTTAAGAGAGAATAACACATCCTTCCCACACAACCTGATCTTGTCTGCAATTCAGCACTGTGTGCAGACTGTCTCCAATCGCACACTCTCTCCCAAGTCTCCAAACTTGAAAGCAGGGCTCATCCTACATTCTGGATGGATTCTGCCTTCCAGTTTGGAAGCCTCTCTTTGTATAAATACTAGATACGTGTTGACTTGTTCTATAATGAATCATGCTTAGGCCTTTTCATTTATTTTTTTTTTTTATGGATTTAGATTGTTTTGATGTCTATGACCTGAATGGGGATGGATATATTTCTCGAGAAGAGATGTTCCATATGCTAAAAAACAGCCTAATAAAACAACCCACAGAAGAAGACCCAGATGAGGGGATCAAAGACTTGGTAGAGATCACACTGAAAAAGATGGTGAGACTATTCCTGTTTGGTGTCTTGAGCTGAAACCTTGTTTAAGACTGGTCTTAGGTTTGGAAGTTCCCCCTATACTCTAACTGAGTTTGTATTTCAGTAATACTAATCAAAAATGTAACCTTTGAAAGTTTGCTCAGTTTACACATCTGTACAAAGAGTACCTTCAAGCACACAGTATTTGAGATCTACAGACTTGTAATACTTCAGTTTATTTCTAGTACATATTATATCAACATTCTGTAAAACACACATAAACATGTTATCAGGAATATTTCACTTATATTACACTTCAAGTTATATCTTACAACTATATCTACATATATACCCAATATTAATGCATTTAATATTGTCTGTACTGACACTTGAAAGAAGTAGTTCATCCTGTAGTGCAAGCCAGCTTTTATTAAAAAAACAGATTGTTTTTAAAGTGTGGCTAACTACCAAATCAGGTTCAACATTTATGGTAAGTAATCCAAGTGAAGGAAAAATACTCTATCAAATTATTCTGAACATGGTACCATTACATTTTCTCAATAAAAATAATGCAAAGACAGAAAAAAGTGGAACATTATTAGGATACAAACACAAATACTTTATACTCATAATACAAAAATAAACCTTTATTATTATTTACAGGACCATGACCACGACAGCAGACTTTCATACACAGATTTTGAGAAAGCAGTGCGGGATGAAAATCTTTTACTTGAAGCCTTTGGAATGTGCCTTCCTGATACAAAGGTATCCAATTAAAAGAGAGCTTTACACTGACTAATGGAGCACATGAACACAGAGAGAATAGCCAGATTTTACTGCTTACAAGAGATGTAACGTTACATCATGATAAGATTTAACTACATTTAATGGTAAATACACATCACAAATTTAGTTCAAATATGTTCTAATGTGGCAAATCTCACAGATTTAAGAATTTGTGTAATTGGTGTGTTTATGTTAAACATTACAAAATATACTTAGAAATGCTTTTATTTTAAAAATGTAAATTTGCTTTTGTACGGTAGACAATTATATTGGAACATTTTTATAATATCTCAAAGATTAATACTAATCATGTGTAATTCAAAACAAATTTATCTTTTTTTCTCTTTGTATTACAGAGTATACTGGCATTTGAACAGCAGGTGTTCCACAATACTACTGAGACTTAAATAATATTATATAATCTAGAATTGACTACCTTTGTAAGAAATAAACTTTTATTTGGATGTATTGCAAACAAGCTTAATCCTGTCCTTATGAAAAGCCAGTTCATAATCACTTTTCTTTGAGGGTGTTGTAATGCAGTGTTTCAGTTGTAATCGTCTTCAAATGTGTACCTGAAGAAGGCTTCACAGCTAAAATGTTGTGGGATTTTTTGCATTTCACAGCCAAAACATTGTTTGTTTGTTATGCCTTTTAAGGTCAAAACACTAACGCCAGACTGTATTAGTTCTAATGCTTATCTGGATTGTTCCTCCTACTTCTGTTCAGCAAGGAGGTTTCTTCAGCACCTTTCAAATATCAATATAAATTTAATCAAAGTGATTTCATGGGCTTCTTATTATTCTAGTTAATGTCCGAGAATGACCGTTTTGGAATGCTGAAGACCTTCTGGAGCCACTCGGAAATCAATGTGTTATGTCTCATCCTCATTCACACAGCTCCTTGCTCTCGAGCAGAGCGTTTCCCAGTGTAAAGAGCACAATTAAATCCTCCTGCGTGGTTTTGGGGCAATTGGCTGCTGCTCTCCTGGCTTTGACTCTGGAACCGAAGAGATCTGGTTGCAAAAGAAAAAACAAATATGGTAAAATGCCCCAACACAGTTTTCCTATATTGTTATAACTCCACAGTGCCTTGAGGCAGAATATGTCTCCTACTGAATAGTCTTCGGAGAGATGGAAAGGTGGCGATAGAAAAAAAAGGCATGAGTGGCTCATAATGGATTATGTACAAACACAGGTGCACATCTGAGCACCAGTTTATTTGGAAATCTATATGTGGACTAAAAGAGACGAATTAGAAACATTTCAGATCTAATAGTCCTATTATTGGAAGTTATGCACATGGAATCCAGCTGGGCAGTTCTTCTCACACATATGCTTGTTGGTTTTGTAACACTACACTACTGTGCAAAGCCTTTCCAAATATCTTACAAGTACTGTAATGTGTGAGGTTTCTGATGGCTTGTGTTTTTAACAGCTCTACTGGCCTACTGAACAACAGCAGAAATGGAGAATAATGCCAAACACACATAACAGAAATGAAATGCTAAGACAGTGAAGGTCTTATAAAGAACTTAAAATCTGCAACTCACCTTAATTATTTTTGATCTGATTAAGTCGACTGAAGTGTTTAGGGAATCATCTCCCATATCCACTTTGGGTGTTTCTGGTACTTTTGGTCCAATGATTGTCTCATTTGTTCTGTTAATTCCCAAAAGAGAGAGTTCCCCAGCCTGTTCCATTTTTCTTTTCCTTTCTTGTAAATGTGTGGTTCTTGGTATGAATCTTGCAGTACTGCTTTTAACTACAGCAACAGGATCTTTCTGGTCCTTGTGAACTCGCTTATCTTTACGAACAGACCCTAAGGGATCCCCCAAGGAATTCTTACTGTGATCAGCTGAACGATTCCTGGGCACCACTCTGAACCTTTCAGATGAAGAACCCGCTTCCGGAAGTCCCTTAAAGCTAAAATATGTCTGTTCCCCAAACGACTGATGCCCAGGGATGTCTTCCTGAGGAGGAGGAGGCAGCATGGGATAGCCATAATAATCATTCCAGCTCTCGACTTTTTCACCATCATCACCAGTTTCCTCCACTTGCTGTTGTTCACATGCAGCTTCCTCAGATGTACTAGGCTTCTCCACTTTCTTCTCTGTATTATCATGGTCTCCTCCTGGAAGGAAATAAGAAGCCTGACTTCCAGAACACTCGTAGTATTTCAGGATATGCACATTAAATCCACAAGGTCTGGTAAAAAAAAAAAACAAATATCGATTTTGTCTTTGTATATTCATAACTATTACATAAGACCTCCTTACAAAGCTTTTAAATTCGTGTAAGTGATCAACTACACTTAAAGAGTGGAACAAATATGGGCCCCCAGCTTTAAATGGGAAGGTCTTCTGAACTTTTAGGACTATTCTGACTAAAGCATGAATCAACATTTGATTCATTTGACTCAACATTTGATTTTTATTTTAAAAAGCTCACCTTTATTCCGTGTTACTCTTGCAATATACCTCCTCCTGTCCTGCAATTTTTCCCTGGTGTCCTGCACCGTTTCATACTCTGGAGCATAGCACACATGTAGAAGTCCACCAAAAAAACTCCTCTCATCCAGTTTTCGTTTAGCTACTCTGTATTGGGTAAAATATTTTAAATAGTTGTGGGACACTGATGATTTTTCGTTTTATCAACATTTTAAAATGCAATTATTTCTTTGGTGTTGTATTAAAAATAAAGGGATATTTACTAAAATCACACAGTCACAGTATATTCACTGAATAGTCTGCACTTTCACAATTAACAGGTGAAATTAACTCGAATTAATGTGCTTAAAGAAATCCAGATTTTATTGTCGAGTAGGCTGTATGCCTTGCTGGCATAACGTTTTGTCCTTCAGTTCATCACAAACAAGCAGTTAGCAAAAAAACACACACAAACAGCAAACAGAACAAGAAACACAAATGTGAATTCGATCCAAATGCTAGGAAGACCACTGTTACCTTACTGGTGTGAAGTGGTATTATAAATGAAAATACCAGAACTGTTACCTTGCACTTTGTAGTTTCTGGAACTTTATCAAGTACACTTCTGTGAATTGTTCTGACGGATATTCGTCTAACACACGGTATTCTTCAATCACTCCATACAGAGCAAAAAGCTGAACCAGCTCAGACATCACCCCCAACGCAGGCACCCCCTGGACCAACAAGCAGCGGGACTCCAAGTTGATAGTATAAACCTAAACAAAAGGAATTGCACATATTACACTTCCTAAAGCTGCTTTTGACTTTGTCACCGTCAATAAATAAGAGTCAGTCTTCTTAGACTGCTCCAATAGAGCTCTGCTGGGTTAAAGATACTGTGGTCGTGCTGGACTTCGTAAACCCGCATTAAAAGCAAGTTTCTAATCTGAAAGAGTTTAAAAATGTTTCTTGTCTGACAGCTTGAGCCCAGCAGAACACAGTAATTGATATAGCAGGCTACGTACAGAAACAATCGTTTCGGTAAAGACAAACACAGGGGGGAAAAAGCTAACCTTGACAGCCTTAAGCCTCCTCCCTTCCCTGTATTTAGCTCTTGTATAACAAACGTCTGTTTGTTGGTGGTGTTTTAAAATCTCCGGGATGCTCCAACTGGAGGCAGCCATCTTGTTCTGTCAAGGCAGAAACAGCCTACACAGAGCTAATCGAGCGTGACCAATCGGGAAGGTCTCTGGCGCTGATTGCCCCCGTATCATTGTACAGTACCATAGGCTGTAGTCTGTCAGCTTTAAACCAATGAAAAATAAAACCGAGTTCCTGTTTTGATACTTAGGGGACTGGTGCATAATCTCAATGCGCGTTGCAATAAGATTTAAAAAAAGAATGTTTCATTTACGTTTAGGGTGACAGACAATTAATATCAAATAATTAATTTACACAGAGATGTACTGGGGGAAATACATACTCTTCGTGCACAGCAAAGCTTCGATGCTGTGATACCGAACAGCAGCAACACCTACAAAATATTCAAATTTGACGATTTTTGTTGAACTGCTCCTAGCCGGAGAGCGAGTCGCTCGCATTGCCCTCCTCTCTGCAGGTGGTGAAGCGCTGCTGTACAGTATCTTGTAATATCTATTTCTGCAGCAGCAATGCTGGGAAGCCATGGCATACAGCCAGTGACATTAGTTTTTAATAATGCTAAAAACTGTTTTCTGCACCTCTCTTCGAGCTTAGTTTCACAGCTTCGCCTTCAAGAGGTAGTACTCTGAGACCTTACGTTGTCGTGTTAGTGATATCCATGTACCTAACCAATTGCCAATGCTTGCGTATTGTTTGTAGTCAGGACTTAGCATAAATAAAGATGTCGAAATACAGTCTAATACGAAACTCGCTTATAAGGTGGATCTTTACACCTTTGAGTCTGAATCATAGCTGAGACGGATACTCAAATACAGCGCAGGGTTTAGAGCCGACTGCCACGGTCCAGTATTTGCAGGGGGGTTTCTCATTTTCATCTCGTTTGGACTCAACGGTCTTGTACTAGAACTGATTTCTTGATTAATTGATTCATTTGAAACCTTTCCGCGGTGAGGAGCTGGAGATGACCCTTTTAATAGACTCCCCACAGGATGAGACCTCGGCCGCGTGATTGCGATGCGAGGTGTTTCTGTTTCTGTTTTCTTTTTGCGTTTCCAATCAGAACCAAGCCCTGGAGCTCTCCTGGGACCGCTGTCAACCCGTGTACCTCAGCTGGACGAAATGCCTGCAGTCTTCATTCCAGGGGGAGAGCGTTGTAGAGGTCAACAGGCACTTGGGTGCCAGGCTTGGAATCAAAGATGGAGAGCAGGTAGGGATGTCATGGACAGCTTCTCCAGCTCCTGAATTCCTGGTGTCATATTTTACACAAACGGCTGCAAAGGACAACCTCAAAACAGAGACACCCACCTACTGCATGACAAACCCTTGAGCTTCACTCTATGTTTACCTAACAACATCATTCTTATCACAAGGAAGTTACCATTATGATGACGATTATTGTGATAATTACATATGTGCTGTTTCTTTATACTGTATGTGAATGTGTGAAGTTTTATTACATTATTTTCCAGGCATTTCTCAGACCTTGCTGGCAGATCCTATCCATTCAGCAGGTGTTTGTGGAACCACTGTCATCTGATGACTGGGAGATATTGGTATGTGTTTAGTCTGCAATTTTTTAATGTAAACCAAATGCTCTCATCTACTGTATATGACAAATTAACTTGAATATTCACATTTTGACCCAATCATGCGTTTGTCAGAAGTGAGAATGGACATCACTTAAATGTGATAAAAATGGCGCGGGTTTGTTATTGTCCCACTGAGATTACACGAGCTGACGACGGGCTGTCACTTTTCTTTCAGGAGCTTCACAGCTCAGCACTTGAGCGACACCTCCTTGACCAGATAAGGGTCGTGTATCCAAACGGACTGTTTCCCGTGTGGGTGGACCAGCACACTGTCATCTACGTCAGGATAGGTTTGCAATTTGCACTCTTCCCTCTATCCGCAATTGTTCTGTAGCAGGTATTCGGTGCTATGCCGGGTGATTTAAGACCTAAGTGGCATGAGACCCGTGTGTTCCTCTGCAAGATGTTGCACTCATTTTGCTTTTGTTTTGTTGAAATGTGAGGTCTAGCTCCTGACTGGAAGGTCCTGGGATTAATCCCAGGTAGGGGCAAGTGATTTCGCTTGCTCTAATTCCTTCCTGAAGACACCCAGGTCCACTCAGCCTGCTTTCCAAATGAGTACCGGGGGTTAATCCTTCCGGGGGTAACAGGCTGGCCGGAGTGCGATGCTGACCACATCACCTCCACCTCCAGTGTCAGATGGTTGAAAAGAATGGTGGCCCCTGCCTCCCTTTCTCCATGGGCCTTTATGGCCTGAAAAGGGGACCTAACCTACCTACCTTTGTTAAAATGTATTATTGGAGACACAGACACAAACAGGCCAGCAAGAGTCACTTTATTGTGTGTGTAAAACACACTTATTACACGTTTAAGGGGAGCCTAATCCCAGCTCCAGGTCTCCAGGTATTTAATTTTGAAATACGTGAATCAGGTGTTCATTCATAAGCAGGAGGAAAAGACATTGTCAATGTTAGTAGGAGACTTAATAATTAATGTTTTTGCCACTTTTGCTGATTTCTTGGATGTGTACTAAAGCTAGTTTTAGTGACCATTGAGCTTGCTGTTAGAAATAGTCCCTGGCTTGCATTAGAAAAAAACATGAAAGTTTGACTTCAGTCAGTGTTATTTACGGTTGTATTCCCATGACGTAGTTAACCTAGTGTGAGGCAAAGTTTAGACTTACTATAGTGGTTTTGTGTAAGCTGGATATTGACTTCTTACCTATGATTAATCTTCATACAATTACAACCTCCAAACTCCAGCCAGCAAAAAAAAACAACAATATTGTTCACACATATGTTGTGTGTTAATTCCATAAATGTGTCATTGTTATGTCAATTGTGGTCCAGCACCACAACTTGACAGTAACAATGACAGACTGTTTGTAACGCGTCGATCTTCCTGTTCCTGCTCGGCTCCAGCTGCCCTCACGCCCGCTGCTCCGTATGGCCGGCTGGAGCAGCTCACCGAGCTGATCGTCTCCCCCAAGCTGCGCCAAGACGGGGAGAGCCCGGCGCGCCCTTCTGCCCCCCCGAACTGGCAAGCAGATGCCAGTCAGGCTCGGGGTCCGCACGGGCCAGACAACGCCCCGGGGAGAGACGCGTTGGGCACCCACCGCGGGGCGCCACCGTGCGTCTCCCCCGGAGGGGGGCGCGATCTGCGGAGCCTGATCCGATCCATGTTCGCCGGGAGCCCTGCCCCCCAGAGGGAGGTTCCCGCTGTCCCTTCGGTGCCGCCCGTCCTCGGGGACTCTGTTTTCAGAGTGTGCAGGAGCGCCCCCTTCCCTGCCGGCCGGCAGAGCCCCGCTCACGGAGCAGCCCACGTCTTCCCCTGGCGCCACCCCTGCGCGGCGCGCGGCGGGGCCCCGTTCGCTGTCACCTACGGCCGGCTGTCCAGGCTGCACCGCCCCAGGGAACCAAGGGAAAAGCCGCACAGGACGCTGTCCCAGCCCGAGAGGAAGAGGGGCCCCGAGGCTCGGGGCGCTGGAGACCAGCTCGGGTCCGGAGGGGGCGCCGCAGGGCCCCTGGCCGTCAGGATCATATGCCATGGGGTGGAGGAGCTGGCGGACACCCAGGGCTGCGGCAGCAGGAGAGGGATGCCGTATGGTGGGAGGGTGTGGGTGAGTGGGGGGCCGCAGCACGGCTCAGTGGTTCGAGCTCCAGACTCGTTACTGGAGTTGGTGGGTTCAGACACCGTAGCGAGGTACGTCACTCAGATTGCTCCGGAAGAGTAAACGAGGGGTAGGAAAGCACGTTGCTTGGACACAACAGTGTCGATATACAGTAAGATTACAGCCACAGGGCTGCATTCAATTTGGAGCTGGTGACAGGAATGTTTACAAAGGGTTTAAAATAGGTTTTTAAATGTGTGTAGTTGATGCTTTTGACTCTAGTGATTCCCTTGAATCTTGTTGATTCACCTGTAGGATAGCAGGATACAGTATATACTGTACACATTTAATTTAAAAAATACAGTAATAGCCCATTTGCCTCACTGTTTTAGCAGCAGGGGAGATGCTATAAAGAATTCCAATGTGTTCTGTGAACAAATGGAACTAGGATCCTAACAAAGCCGCTCACTGTAAATGATTCTAAGTGCGGTTCAAAAGGAGTTTAATGTCTTTGGGTGAACAAGCATGGGAAATGTCAAATACTGTATATCACATTGATTCAGTGGTTAAATGACTGATATACTGTTTGTTTCAGTACCCTTCTATATTGCTTTGTATTGTTTTCCAAATCCCGGCCTGTGTGTCTCATTATCCTTATTGTCCACAGATTTCAGAATCCATTAGAAGAAGACTGGGTATTGATTTCTGCACAGCCGTTAGAATACAGCCATTAAACTCAGTCCCAGAAATAGCATCCTGTGTCCGATTGCAGCCCTTGCAATCACTGGTGAGTTGAACCGTAGATTTTGTAGGACATAAAATGCAAAGCTCTCTCCAGTTAAAAGGATTAAAGGTATTTTTGCTAGAAGTGTAAAGCACATGGGTTTCTTTAGAGTATTTTTTTTTCTTGAGTGGAGTCATTGGTCTAGTTATTGTATAGCCCAGCTTCTCTTCTGTTTCTGAAACCCCCACTTAAGTGAAAGTGCCTGTCTTTGTTTGTGTCTGTTGTGTGTAGAAATTGCTCCAGCCTTGTGGTGCTTTTATGTCTCAGTTGCCCATATTGAAACTAAGAGACCTGACAGAAGTGTTTAATCTTTACCTTTCCTCAGCCACAGAAGGTCAAGGAGCAGGATGTCCAGTCTGCTTTCCTGGACTGGCTGCAAGCTCAGAATAATGAAGAGCTGCCTTGGCTCACAGGGAGGTCCAGCTTTGTCGCCTTGCCAGTCCACGAAGGCAAGTGTTTTACTGATCATTCATTCGGAGCCATAGTGGAAGAGGAGGATGTTTTAAAGTAGTGAATGGGATAAGCCATTAACTGGTATCATGTCCAACTAAACCTGTTCTAGAGGTCCCTTGGCTTTTAAAGTGGGTTTGATCCTATCAGATGATCATTTCTTACTTTTAGGTCACGATACACAGGATGATGTTGCTTAGCCTTTGCTCTGATTTGAGAATTTCAACTGTAATGCTGAGGTCTACTACTTAAAATTTCTCAGAAAACATGGAGTTTGCCTTGACTGTGATGAAGCCAGAATCCAAAAAGACAGGAAACGGTGAATCAGATGAGGTTTTCATGTTGACGACCAGTTTGCTGGAAAAAACAGACATACAGGTGGGTTATTGATTATTGTTTGCTTAATAGATGGGAGTCCTGTGCTCATTTAAGGTAATGATAGTTTCCAGTGATTGAATTCACGTATTCTGACTTGAAAGTGAATTCAGTTGTGTTTTTCATGTAACATGATGGGTTCCATTGAGCCGTGTAAACGCAAAAATTATCGTTTGGTCCAGAAATTAACAAAAAACTGTAAAGAATAAAGTTACCATTGGAACCAGCTTTTTAACTGTTTTCTATAGAGTTGAAAGGAGTTCACTTAGTCTTTTAAGATGATTGTCCAGTATTATTTTTATGCAGATCTTAATTGGATTTTGCCTTTCAGTACACTTTCAGTACACTAGTTGTGATGATCTCAAGTCCAATGTGTTTGTATGCAGCTATCAAGGTATCCACAGGCAGCTGGGTCAGAATCTGTGCGAGCACAGGATCCCAGCCAGATTCTTGCCCCACCAGTACAATCTCTGGGGTAAGTCTTTTTCTCAAGAGACATGGCAAGCCTACATTTCATTTACCCCCTTGAGCCACAAAACCCGGAAACCGGAACACTTTTTCACCCAAGAAATGACTGTTAATAGGCAAAACTTTGTAAATTACGGAGTTAAATGTTTCATTGCCGAGAGTAGCTGGGTTATAAACCACACGCTTACCTTGTGACAATGTGTCCATCTTTCACACTGCAGAGGAGTGGAAGACATTGCTGACTCTGCCTTTGAGCACATCTCCCAGAGCCTGATGGGACGGCCTCTCTCCCAGGAGCTGCTGTCTGTAGTATCAGGGCTCAGGAACGGAGCACTTCTCCTCACAGGACTCAAGGTAATAACACACTGAGTGAGGAATAGCAGTATCTGGCCACCTCTGTGTATCATAAACTTTTCTGTATTGACTCGGTGTATTGAAACCTACAAAAACTATTTCAATATAATATGATTGTGTTTCAATATAATATGAATCTGTGTTTCAGATTTTTTAGAAAAAGCGTAGAATGCCATTGTACATAGTTATTATTACCTTTTCATGTTGCATTAAGTAATATTTGATCTGAAAAGTTAATATGGTTCTTTAACGGAAGGTTGTCTTAGGAAATCATCTCTGACTGTGCTGTGACTAACCCCGCAGGGCAGTGGGAAGACAGCTCTTGCCACAGCTCTCTGCAGAAAAGCAGCTGATGTCTTGGATGCTCATGTGGAAGTCATTGACTGTCAAAAACTAAGAGGTAAGAGTAAGGCCCCTTCCAGATAAAGCTGTGCAACACTGGCAGTGGACTGTGAATTTGGAGTAAATGTCATTATTTTGTTTTTTGTTACCATTAAAATTGTTTCACTTTACTGACTTCATAAATCATAAGCCAGTAATTTCTTTCTGTGTATTATTTTGTTCTTTAATTCACCAGTAAATTGAAGTTGCCTTGTGCATAATATGAAGCCTTCAGTAATTACAAACTATCTTTTCCCATTTGTCCAATGTTTTTTGATTTTGACTTTTGTGGTTTTCCCTCGTAATAGGAGTGGCTTCAGTGTCCGTCTGGCACAGCAAGACTTACCAGATCCTTTTGGTCTCATATCTTCCTTCCATCCATTTTCTAACCACTTTACCCAGTTCAGGGTCACTGGGGAGCCAGAGCCTATACCAGCAAGCAACAGGCACAAGGCAGGGTACACCCTGGACAGGACGCCAGTCCATCACAGGGCACAAGGCAGGGTACACCCTGGACAGGACGCCAGTCCATCACAGGGCACAAGGCAGGGTACACCCTGGACAGGACGCCAGTCCATCGCAGGGCACAAGGCAGGGTACACCCTGGACAGGATGCCAGTCCATCACAAGGCACAAGGCAGGGTACACCCTGGACAGGACGCCAGTCCATCACAGGGCAGGCAGACACCGTCATGCACACGCTCACACCACGGGCAGTGTTTCTGAAGCCAGTTAACCTACCAGTGTGTTTCTAGACTGTGGGAGGGAACCAAAGTATCTGGAGGAAACTTTCACAAACACAGGGGGACCCTGCAGCCACACAGAGGGCACCACAGGAATTGACCCCAGGGCCCCAGGGCTGGGAGGCAGCAGTGCTAGCCACCATGCCACTCTTGACTCATATCTTTCAGAAGATATTTAAGAATAAGTGGAAAAGACGATGGAGCAGAGACGCAAACCTTGGACCTGCCCTTGTCTCTGCAGTGTGCCGGTCGAGTCTGGGAGACCCATCTACATCTGCCGGGGTCCTTTAGGGTCCGGCTGGCCCACTAGTTCCATTCGGGCTGTTCGTCTCATGTTCCCGCTTTGTGGCGTTTGCAGGGAAGAGAGGGGAGACGGTCCGAAAGAAGCTGGAGGAGGCGTTTGAGGAAGCCGCGTGGAGGCAGCCCTCTGTGGTGCTCCTGGACGACCTGGAGCAGCTGACCGGGGCCGCGGCCGGCCCCGAGCAGGAGCACGGCCCGGAGGCGCTCCGCAGCCAGCAGCTGGCCCAGGGTAGGGGCACCGATCGGCTGTACTCTTCGCACTCACGGGGGGCAGGTGTGGGGCTGTGGGAGGGAGAGTGTCAGCTCTCTTCTTTCATGTGATGTCCGGATGAGATCCTTGGATCATGACAACTCCTAGTGGGCTGGATGGGCCGAATGGCTGTTTCTCATTTGTACCCTTTACTATGTTCTAATGTTCAGGGTTACGTTTCAGTACCTATAGATGTTAATCTATAGATTAACATCTTGCTGCTCTTTTATCCTATTAAAATATTGCATATCATTTATAAAAGTACAGCTTTATTAAAATAACATTTATTGGTTTTTATGTCATAAAAAGAAATAATTCATGTTGTTCCGAATCTGTGTCTTGATCATCTCCGTTATCACATATGAGCCAATTTAGACATAATAGAACCTTGGAAAGCAAAACAAATTGGTGTTAAATTTACTTTGAAGTTAAGTTTACAATTCTAATAAGGGATGCTATGGATACACTTCAATAACAAACTTAAAAGGGACAGATTTTGAAGTATGACTGATGTAGAGATCTTTGCATCTCAGGGGTTTTTGTGCTCTTTTGTTGTTTCAGCCTTGAAGGATCTAGTGAGTGATGCTGTTGTACACGGCAGTCTGATTGCCTTGATTGCTACCAGCCAGAGTGAGCACACCCTCCACCCTTCATTGACATCAGCGCAGGGCTCTCATTTCTTTCAGTGCATCAAGGAGATTCCCCGCCCCAGCCAGGTACTGCTTCGCTGTGGGATATTGTATCAGTGGGATACAGTACAGCTCTTAGAGCCTCCCCTTTCATATAGCCTGACAGTTACCTTTATTCTTACACTGTTCATTTCTTTATAAAGAGAACTGGGCCTGTGTGAGTCAGTATTTTAATATTGTATCATGAAAGGGCAATACAAAGAATGTCCTTTGCTGAAGGAATATTGTAGTTTTTCAAGCACTTTAGAACAAGATGAAAGATGTTTTAATTTAAATTGAAGTGACATATGAATAGAGCACTCCAGGCTTATTCTTTTTTTAAATATTTATTGGGATTATTTGCAAAAGGGTGGTATTATGACATTGACTGATGTATTAAGTTATTCCATTGAAAATGTTTGTTAATATTCAAAACGTTTCTGGTCCCTATGTTGTTTTGCAGGCCCAAAGAAGTGAAATTCTTCGAGCAATAATTAAGAGCAAAAGCATCATTGCTGAAGATAGCCTGGGAGTACTTGATCTCGAGTCAGTTTCCAGGGAAACTGAAGGTTACCTGGCGAGCGATTTCACCCTGCTGGTTGAAAGAGCAGTTCACGCCAGTGTTCTTCACAACAGAATCACAGCTTCAGGTACTGCGTAGCGCACTTTAGACCATCATGCAAACTCCATTCAGTCTTCTCCAATAGTAGCCAACCGGGAAGGGCTTTACCCACAATGCACCAGGAAGAGCTGTCAAGGATTGCTTGTACATTAAATAAATGTCTAGTTCAATATAATTGGCATGATCCTTTCACTGCCATAAAATATCACTGAAGCATGCTTGATCTTCAAATTTGACATGTTGATCACATTTCTGTATTTCTGTCACTTGATGGATAGTTACATTTAAATGAGGTGAGTACAGACACATCTGAGAATGTTAACTGACAGCCCTTTCAGATTTAGACATAGAAGATGTATTTACTGCTAAATGAAATATAGAGCCAAATAATGATGGATACAATTCAAGCAGTTCGTATTCTTTTCTTATGTAAAAAAAACACAAAATAATGTAGGATGGCATTTATTATTCTTATTTGTGTGTTTTTCCAGGTTAATTTGAAAGGTAGTTTGGTTTTTTCTTGAATTACAATTTATTGGGCTGCGATCTGGTCATCTCTCCAGGGCTACGTGGGGGGAGTCAGGAGTAAGCAAAAAAAAAAAAGCTTTATTTGTAATCAAAATCAAAAGGAACGATCTGAGGTAAATTCAACAGACACTTAAGAGATGTGCTCTACACACCACCTGTGCTGGTTTAGGGTTGCACAGGTACAGAGTAATGAATGCAGCATGGCATCCTCTCCGGATGCCCCCCGTGTTTCCAATCCTAAATCACCCAGCACGAGTCTGTTCTTCTCAGAGGTGTTTTTGGCCACCTCTGACTTCCAGCAGGCACTCAGAAGCTTCACCCCGCCCTCTCTCCTGAGTTCCCGCCTGAACGCCCCCCCCGAGGCAGGCTGGGACCGCGTCGGGGGCCTGAGGGAGGTCCGGCAGGTGCTGATGGACACCGTTCAGCTTCCAGCAAAGGTAGGCCGTTGCTTAACAGCGCTGAGGCCCCCAGCCTCTGCTCAGCTTCAGTCTATAATGAATAGTGTCGGACCATACAAGTATCAGTATCCGCTCCAGAGTGGCACAGTTTAACGTGGACTGTAAAGATGGCTCAGGAACATGTGGCACTCTCACCCCCTTTGCCTGGCTTTTGCACCGTTGCATAATCGACACTGGGACAAAATTCACACACGACGGTTGTTACTTTCTAGGTAATTGCTGTAATGATCACCTAATTAATAGATATTTATTGTTTAGTGCTTTGTGCATTCACAATTAAAACAAAAATACCCAGAAAATGCCCAGGGTTGGAATGGAGCTCCGACATCAATTTTGAGTTCCCCTCCCTTTTTCCCCACCTTCTCTTCCTGTGGGGTTCATGGTGGTTTTTGTCCTGTGTTCCAGTATCCTGCCCTGTTTGCAAGTCTGCCCATCCGACAGCGCTCTGGAGTGCTGCTGTACGGAGCTCCGGGCACAGGGAAGACTTTGCTAGCAGGAGCTGTTGCCAAGGAGAGCGGAATGAACTTCATCAGCATCAAGGTGCAGCAGGCTTCCTATCCCCAACTCTTTCCAAAATATGGCTTTTTCCCAAGAACTTTAGGTCACCACTAATGTCATCTGTTAGTTGACAGGTGGTCGCATTTTTTTGAAGTGGGCTTATTTACTTGTACCACAAATACAGTCTTACAGATTTTTGTACTTGTAAGACCTGTTTACCTCCGCTAATTCCTTTCAGAAAGCCAGAAAGGCTGGTTTGTAATCTAACATTGCAGGGACGGCCGCAGCACAGTAAATCTAACAATGGATGTTTGTTGTCATCTCAACATGCTCGTTGCAAATCCACAAAAAACTGTAAGAGGTCATCTTAAGCAGAAACGTTTAAAAGAAATATTTCACACTGACTTGGTTTGAAAATGTAAATATCCTCACTGAGTGACTTGTAACAAGAACAGTATACTATTTGGACTTTCCAGAAATGGTGGATACAGCAGCTAACCCATGATAAACAAAAATGCTCACACCATTTTCCTTTGCTACGCTTTTTCAGGGGCCTGAACTCCTCAGCAAATACATTGGAGCCAGTGAGCTGGCCGTGCGCGACGTGTTTCAGAGGTTCGTTTTGAACTGTACCGCTCTCTCAAGCATGTGTGCATTGTCTGTCAAAAGCCCGTGACGAGAAAGAATTACTGGGGACTGAGGAGGTCAGCCCATGGCAGAGTGGCTTGAATCTCCCATAGAATATGTGCCATCGTGTACGAAATGATGTTTACAGTAACTCTCTCATCCAGGGCCCAGGCTGCCAAGCCCTGCATCCTGTTCTTTGACGAGTTTGACTCCCTGGCTCCGCGCAGGGGGCACGACAGCACAGGAGTGACCGACCGTGTGGTCAACCAGCTGCTCACTCAGCTGGACGGCGTGGAGAGGCTGGATGGTAGGGCTGTCCTCTGTGCTGTACATCACAAGGCCCGATGGGCTCAGGAGATTAACTGCATTCCTGCAAAACCTTCACATTCGCAGGCCAACAAACAAAAAGAAAGAACTGCGGCTCTCATACTACACTATCGTTATTCAGATTTGTTTTTCTAAAGAGCGTTGATTTTAACTGCTAACAGAACGCCGTGTTTTTGTTGTATTACAAATTAAAGGAAGTGGAAGCTATGTGGTTTCAAAAGGTGGGAACACTGCATATTATAGCTTGGACTGGCTCTGCTTTTGGCTCTTTTTATCCTTTAAACTTGACAAGCCTGTTATGTACAGTATGAATGTCATAATTGATGTGGTCATCTGAGAATTCAAAACGTACATGTGAACAGTGAAAAGGGACTTGATTATTGATTACCTGTGGTTAAAATAGCAGATGTTCTGAGGAAAGCAGGTGCAGTGTAGCTTGCAGATTTACAAAAATGCTGAGGTGAGTTTGACTTATCTACCTTTGTGTTAACTTGAAAAATACATTCAAATCGTAACTCTAAAGAGATCTAAAGAATGAGGCCTGGGTCATGTTCAGAAACTGGGCCTCACCTCACCAGCATGGGGATGGGAGAGCTCAGGCTGTTGTACAATGCCGTTGGTGGACCAGTAGGTGGTGCTTGTCCCTCAGCTGTAGTATTTCCAAACCATTATGGAGACCACAGACACTGTACCATAGGAGGGGCTATCCTTTGGATGAGACTTTGAACTGAAGTCATGCCCACCTTTTTCTCAGGCTTTATTTGTACTTTTTGACCTATATTTTTTACGTCCTGGATAAATTCTACCCTAGTTAAGGTTAATTGCTTTATGTCTCTTAGGGGTGTATGTGTTGGCTGCCACCAGTCGTCCTGACTTGATAGATCCGGCCCTTCTGAGACCCGGTCGTCTGGACAAGTCTCTGTACTGTCCTCCCCCTGATCAGGTAGACTATCACGCCCTGTGACTTTCTCCATTAGAGAACAATTAGAAATGCAGAAATCGAAAGAGAAACACTCCTTCCTGGAATAAGGTGAAAAATGAATTTAAAAAATCATATCATCAGTCATCATCACCTGGGTGATTTGCACATAAGATCATATGCGTTTAAAAGACTTAAGGGGAAAAAAAATGATTTATTCAGAAACACTGCAAGGAGGAAACAAGAAATTTCCTGCAGTGCTTTCCGTGAAGTAATTCTAAAGATGAGCAATCGTGCCATTATGTGTGGCATGATTAATTGCATAGCTTGGTGGTGTGTGTTCTGTGATTTCCTGTGACGTGGGGCAGCGAGCGGTGGCGTTGTTGCAGGTCTGCTTCTCTCACGGGGGTGTTCTGTTCCCAACAGGAGGCCCGACTGGAGATTCTCAAGGCCCTTACTCAGACTGTACCGCTGGCGGGAGATGTGGACTTTGACCAAATGGCAGCCGCCACCGACTCCTTCACTGGGGCTGACTTGAAGGCACTGCTGTACAACGCTCAACTAGAGGCAATTCATAGCAACCTGGGGGCCGGCTCTCTCCATGTAGGTGCATTCAAGATTTAGCACTGGTGTAGGGCGCCATTTCATTTGGCGTTGGCAAAAAACTTCGCAAGTCAACTTTACTTGTAAATAAATTCTGTGCACCAGTAGCCCTGCAGGTAAACTGACAACTTAGATGGCTCTGTACTTGAATAGGGCCAAATGTTGTGGGAGATCTTGAAAAAATGTGCCCCCCCCCTCCCCTGTGCTAAAATCTTAAAATTCTGAGAAGATACTGTAATTTGCATGACTCTGTACTTACACACATTTAATTCAGTTAACTTATCTTAAGAACTGGGAAATGAAAGGCATGAAACAAAGAATTGCCTTGCACTTTTAGTGAAAATTATCATGAATCTCGGCGCTGATGAGTTCAATAAAGAACCATTTTGTGTTGCGTTGTCCTGGCAGGAAGTGGGGTCTGGCTCGGACAGCGACGTCAGCTTGTCTTCCATGATCTTCCTGAACCACAGCAGCGGGTCAGACGACTCAGCAGGCGAGGGGGAGGGCGGGCTTGAACACTCCATGGTGCTGCTGGACTCCTCCGAGCTGCTTCCAGAGGACCCGCGTCACAACATGTGGCGCCTTTACTTCGGCAGCTCCTACGAGTCCGAGCTGGGGAACCCGACACCCTCAGAGCTGGTCAGACCTTCCACTGTGTCCTGTGTATAGAGATCCCTATACTCTCAGAGCCGGTCAGACCTTCCACAGTGTCCTGTG